GGTGTGTTTTAATTTTTCCGAGAAATCAGAAATTTAATGACTTTCAGCGTGGCGCGGCCGCCTTCTGCTCGTCCGCCATGACGCGAGCACCCGTAGACAAACTTGTGCTTCGTAATAGACATCTTCTTATGACTTTGTTATATTTTTAACATAGTTATAAGTTGATTTTACGAGGTTAGTCTCTTCCTGTACTCCCTTTTCCATCGTTTAATCGAAGTTGAAATGACAAGTTTGAGGTTATGTTGTCTACTGTGTTTACCAAACAGATAGCCTCTCGCACAAGCCTCTGCAGCTCGCCGAGCAAAAGGCGGGGGCATATCCTCAAAGTTGTTTTCGTATTTTGGTCCGATTAACCTACCTGTAAAGTTTGAACGCGATCTGTGACCTCGCCCGTTTCTGATTTGATCACTTGAGAAAGAATCACCCTGGAGTGGACCCTACAGCATTTGGAGTCTGCAGTCACAGAACCCCTCAGGGCCTGCTGCATGGGCTCATAGAAAGGCCAGGACAGGACGACACTGTCGCCACCAATGTTGTCCACCTGAGCTTTAGAGTCAAAGTACAAGCTCAAGCTCAAGGCAACAGCCAGTGCAGCAGCCACTTCCTCCCAGAGAGGGGCGTGGCGAACGGCCCTTTCAAATAAATGTTTTCGGTTGTCATATTCAAAAATCAACATCATTGTGGCATCAGGAGTAAAGCTGGCACCTGAAAATGAAAGCATCTCTTAGAAACACCATATCTATATCACAAACATGTCACCAACAATCAAATAATTATACTTACGGCCATGGGAATCCTTCACTACAGCATAGTCTCCTGTAAATTTTTTATTATCCATGAGCTGCGCAACCAGATCAACAAGCAGGCCCGCCCTTCCGTCAAACGGAGTTGCCAGCTCCACATCGCTGCGCCGGCAACTCCGTTCGGCAGGGGCCGGGCCTGCTTGGCCTGCCGGCGGTGATGTCAGTCTCGCGATTTACCGAAGTGCATAATCAAATAAATAACGTGACCGGTAAATCACTTTGCATATTCGAGTAAACTAACGCGTCCGGTGGGGGGCCTGCGGCCCTAGAAATTTGCTCCGTGTACATGACAAAAGACTGTAACGGGGCAACACCGTGACTACACCCCACCCTTCTGCTTTGCTTAAGAATTAAAAAAAAGATCACGCGCAGATTGTATATTATTGTTTGTCAAACAGTCTTTGAACTCGACTTTTTGCAATTGTTTTCAATATATCTACCTCTAGCTCCTAAACGGTTAAAGATACGGCAAATCGGAGGGTACTTTCGGACTCAGACTGTGCTGTTTTGGGGGGTACTTCCTCTGACATTTTACGATTGGACGCCTCCTTGTACGTCTTCATGTGCAACGTGGTCATTTTCACCGTATTTTCGTCGTAAAAACCTCTCTAGCGCCCTAACGGTGCAAGATAGAGGCAAACGGACGAAATTTTAGGCTAAAAGAGTCGACTTTCACGAGTTACCCCTTAGGGGACAATAAAGAAAATTGATTTTCTACTTTTTAGACCAACCCCTTTTTTCTTTTTTACCCCCTTTCACCCCCCTTAGGGGTGGTTGCTAGGATTTGCACCAGGCGTTTCGTTGTACAGGAGTGACCCCTAAGATACCCTGAAATTTGTAGACCTCTAGCTCATCTCCTTCCTCTTACACGGACGACGGACAGACAGACGGACGGACACGAGAGCGGTTGCATAATCCCGCTTTAATGCTTTTTTAAAAGCAGAAGGGCGGGCTAAAAAACCGCCAATCGGTTTGGTTGCGTGCCTTCCGTAAAACATAATATTTAACCAAGTTAGCTCGCTTTTTTGTGATAATCTCTGGAGTAAAAGCAATTAAAGCATTGCCCCTTTAGCGGGGCCAGGATTCCCTCCATCTGCGTCTTGGTTATATCTACTCTTTTCCCAGTAAAATTTATATATCCTTTGCTCATATTAAGTTCCTTCAATAATGCCTCAACGGCATCATCGTCATCAGGAGAAATATGGTTAGCAGCTGTCTTGCTTATATTGGGTTGGTGGTTGGTGGAATGTAACATTATCACCCCCAAAAGAGATAGATTGGAGGCATAATAGCTCGGAGACACGGCTGGACGGCTGGACAGAACCAACGGAAAAAGGGCATTACAGTGGCCACTCGCATAGCCGCGCCTCTCATAGCTGCGCTAAGCTCTACTAGCCTGACACCACTGCTCACCGCCATACACTGCTGGTGTGGATTGTGATTGTTCTCTGATTACTGTTCAACAGCTTTGCAGCTAAATAACACGTACAGCACTGTAGCTTAATCCTTCGGCCAGCCATTTAGCGGAGATGTGTCCCTCGCATAGCCGCGCCGGCCTACAGAGGAGAACCGTGCGGCGCGGCTATGCGAGTGGCCATTGTTAATCAAGTTTTGTCTCCTTTTAGTAGACCGCTTTTTGCTTTGTTAGGGTTCCCCTGATAACTGTGTTGCTACGCTCTGCCACTCTCGGCAAGGCCTACATATGACTATGTAACCTAATTTAAAGCACACTAACTGAAAATGAAAACTATATCATCTGCTGCCACGTTAGCGCAAGCTTAGGTTTTCTGCTACCTTTTTGCTTGTTGTTGTGCCTATTCACACTGCTAGAACACTCGAAGACACCCAGCATATACAACTACTATTTGCACTAACGGTACATCGCGGTGTACCGAACACGCGTTAGGACCCCTGGATATACCCACAGCTACACGACGACAGAACTGGAACCAGCCGTGAGCCGTCAGCTCAACCCTCAGATTGTTGGGGTAGGCTTTGGCTGTGGTCACTTGCTGTGACGTCACTTACCGTTGTGTTCTTTCGAGTTATCATGAACTCAGATTACTCTTTTTCTAATATTTTAAACAAATATTTCTACATATTTTTCATGGTTTTGATTTGATTTTTCTACATACTATATTGAGAAAATAAGAAAGAAAATATGTTCAGTCATGGTTCAGTAAGTCTGTCCCTTTCTGACCGGCTCGCGAGATTTACATCTGAGAACGCACCCAGTTAGCTTTTAAAGCGAAAAGCCTCGAGTCCTCAAGAAGTTTCACTTTGTCGTTTGAGTGAGTCCGAGCAGTTATTATTGTGGTTGTGCAAGTGGAGCGAACCGCAGAAGCAGTGTCTTGATTTACGCTCGTAATGGCGTCGGCTCGTGTGCAGGCGTTTTGGATGGACGACAAAAAGACCAGCATCGTTGATCTTGCATGTGTGCCGGAGGAGGATCGTGATCCCGGCAAAATTGCGGAGGTTAAGTGGACCAACCCGTCTTATCCCGATCAGATTATCAAATTGGAAGTGAGTACTGGTTGGGTTCTTTTGTAAATTGTGTGAATTTGTCTTGTCTGGCCGCCGACGCCATAACCTGTACTTCAGTGCAATGCAGTTCTACATACTTTGCACATGCTTATGTATCCTAACCTGTGCCTTCATATCAATAGTTCAGTTCAATGTGCGCAGCCTAGTTTTAATGCACTTTTTCATGGTTAGGCGCTGCTCGCCGTCCCTAACCTACATTAGTTAAATATATTTCTCAATTTGGTTTTTGAAATGTAACTAAGGCGGTTTTTTTTGGAGAAAGTATGAAGAACCTTGAGCAAGCTGAGGCGTACCTAATACCTCCACTGCACTTGTCCAAAATACCTGCCTAATTCTGGCCAAAAAACTTTCTGGCCGGAAAAAAAACCCTCGAAAACTCCAGAAAAAATACTAAACACCAGAGACGGTCCCACAAAGTCAAAAAACATTAACGGACTCCAAAAATCAGTTTTAACTACAAGGGCTACCAACCTACGGGCCGCCAAAGTCGAAAATTCGCTATTTAAGAAGCAAATTTCTATCCAGAGACTGAACCCTGCTGGTTAAGACTTCCAGATTTTTACCACACGTTCCTTTTGGGTCCTTTGACTTATACCCTGTGATCGCCGAAGTTTTAACCAGCAAGAGAGCCAACCTACGGGCCGCCAAATTCAGAAATTCGCTAAATTTGGCACAAATATCTATCCAGTGACAAAACCCTGCTGGTTTAAACTTCCAGATTTTCTCCACACGTTCGTTTTGGGCCCTGTGATCGCCGAAGTTTTAACACGTTGGGGCCAGCTTGACCACATTGTGGTCATAGCGAACTATCCCTACCGACGACGTGTCCACAATGTGGGCATTTTTTGTTCAATGTTCAAAGATTTTCAGAAAATCAGGGAATTGGGCTAGAGGGCTACTCTCTTCGGCTTTTGGTAGAAGAAACCTTCCAGAATTCCAGGCTTTTCCAGGTTACAGGTCAGACGGCTCCTTCAGCCCCTACCAAGGCAATGACCACAATGTGGACCCGGGCGGAAGGATCACGAGATGAATTGTAGTTGAAACTGTAGTGGACGAACTGCAGTCAGGAAACTGTAGTCCGTCCCCAGTCCAACTAGGCATTACCAGCCTATTCGGTTTACATACCGGAAAGCACTTGTCGAGTGTCTCTGAGGCACAGCCTTGCTGCAACTGCACTGTAATCCACGTTTCGGCTTCTGTACCGTCATCCAAACTACAGTTTCAACAACAGTTCCACCACAGTCCTCGAGCGCAACTCCCTGCTACATCTGTAGATTGCAGTTCTCACTCGTCCGTAACTATGACCGCAAACAGCTTGCGCACCTGCAACCGCAGACTGTCCTGAGGTCTGTACTTCCCACTGTGCTGCAACCATTACAGCGCCTGCAAAAGCGACAGTAGGCAACTTGTCAGACGAACTGACGTACTGGTAGTCTGCCCGCAAGGCGCCACCAGACTTACTGCCAATTGGCCATTAATGGGGCCGGAGGGGCGTGAGGCTAAGGGGTAGCACACTCCCCGCTCCCCTCTCAAAACCCCTTCCCCCATGCACCCCCTCCTTCGCTCCGCACTCCGAGAGTGGTATTTGTTGTTCACGCTCGTTCCGGGCCTCCCTAAAATGAGTACCACAAGAAGTACCGGGTGTAACTGAGAATGCGCAACAGTGTTGCGGGTTTGCCTACCCAGTTAGCCCGTAAGGCGCCATGGCCCCTGCAGCCGCGGGTATCCCGCAACACTGTTGCGCATTCCCAGTTACACCCGGTACAGCTGGGCTGGTGGGGCTGCCCCAAAGTGGCGTGGCGTGGCCGTGTTGTGCCCCCCCCCCTCCCCTCCCCACTTCGGTTTTACCGTTCACCCTTCGCCACTGCTGGGCATTCCCGTATGCGCTCGGGGCTTGTGGACTTTACCACTTTGTGCAAGGAAGTTGTCGAGTGCAGACCTCTACCTTTACGCCGTGTGCTAGTGCATCAATATGTTCTACGAGCCGTGGTTCCTGTGCTGCTCTATGCGCTCCGACGAGTATTATGTTGTGCCGCGTCGTGCCATTGTCGACCGTGAAGTTGAGGACTGCCAAAGTATGATGGATTTCAAGGGGCATCCCTTACTCCAGGATCCTGTTGGGGATTTTCTTGATGTGCTTGTAGATTTAGGGGCCGAGGACGTCCATCTATTGTCGTCCCCTGGGCACCCCGGGGGTAAGACTGATCGGACGTTGTGTCGTGTGATGTACGTCTCGTGTAAGTTCTGGTTGGCGTCGTCCCTCGCCTGCTCCCCACTTTGTTTACCGTTTGCTGTACTAACTTGTATGTTTTTTCATGCACAGGTGATCGTGCGGAGGTGAAGGACATCTTCCATACATGCCTGACTTTGGCCCTGAGCAGCACCCATCCTAAGACTGATGACCCGAAATTCATAAGCAGGTGGCTCAAACGAAAGGTGCGCTACACATACTTTTAACGAATACACTGTGAGTCTTAACGTGCATCCGTCAATTATGTGCTCTCATGTCTATACAGGACCAGGATGACGTTGCCAAAGCATTGGCCAAGAAGAAGGGCATCACGGGGTGGATGGGGCAGGTCACACATTGGCTGCGGCGTTCTGAGGGAGAAGTCCTGTACTACCATCCAGACGACAAAGAAGTTTTCGAAAAGTGGCTAGTTCCAACACAGCACACCCCAGAGAAGCTGTATTACTCCTCGCCTCATCTAAAGGATAGGTCCAGGGTGCGACTGCTGAAGTTTTAGGGTGAGTTTAAATGATCAGGCTGTCCCGTGTGGTGTGTGACACCTTTTGTTTTATCTTATTTCTGATTTTCTATTTTCTATATTTTCTCTTCACTGTTTCAGATAATATGGGTGCGGTGGGAACAGGAATACCAGTTAAAAATAGTTGTATTTATTTCATTTTATAATTGCTGTTATATTTGTAAATAAGACTCGTAGGAAGGTAAAAGAAAACATTGCGATGACAAGAGAAAGCACAAAATGATTTGTAATGAATAATGTCATACATAAAACATTAACATACAAATGGAAGGTTTTTGAACATCTGAATTGTTGTCCTCAACGTCAACAGTTGTATTTCAACTACTGTCACATTCGAGACAAAACTAAGAACATTTTAAAGGACTAAAATTTTAGAAGATCATAACGTGAAGCAGTCCTTATTGTTATAGCTATCTGTCAAGTTTGGTGGTACGTTTTCTTCTCAAACCTGTGATACATTACTGCCCCTATAGTAGATAAAGCAAATGAGATAATTCGAGGTGAAATAGACCAGAATCATACACCTCTCAGAAACTCAGTTAATGTTTTAAACTGATAAGCTTAATTGTACCACAGATGGCTTCTCTTGGTAAGCTATAAAAGTGGAGAAAATGTCCTACACATATTGTTTGTATAAACAGTTCAAACTTTTTTATGTTTAACAAGACTTAACTTTAATCAACAAAACAAGTCTTAGACAATATTCATGCTATTTGTAAACAAATGTGTTCCACACATTTTATAAATACTATTCTGATAAATTAAATTCCCTTCAAATTAAGTTTCTTACCTCAACATTTCCATTTTTAATACATTGATACAAGCAATTCTTAAACTGTCACCTGAATGTGAATTTAAATTAAACGACATCAGTTTACTATCAATCTTAGACACTGGAAAGCACCTTCTCATTCCTTCTACCGTGTCTTGTAAAACCATTATATGAGGTAGAGTAATATCGCACAATTTCTTTTGGCGACAGATTTCTATAATGTTCCCTAAAACAAAACATTCATTTTCAAAAACAACAAAAGAGTCAATGACAAATACCTCATCAGTAGTGAGGAGTACAACACTATTATTTTGTTTAGTCACTCTAGAATAATTACAAGAGTGATAAACTTCATTGTTAAGGAGACAGCGGTCATAAGATAAAAATGTCGAGTTTCCTGTGCACTCAACACCTGCCCTCCGCAGTGCTGCGAATGACTCTAGGGGAAGAGGACCAGACCGTGGTATGCCCAATAAAGCAGCGTCTCCTATTGTCAGATTGGGGAGAGCATATTGTCGACCAGACAGCACATTTTTTAAATACTCCTGCTGTGCATCTGTCATTGATTCTCCCACATCCTCTTCTAACTTTCTCAAAGCAATCTTTTTTTGCATTGCCTTACAAATTTGCTGGTTGGCACCATTACTGCTCTTCACAGCTTGTTTTATCTCGGCATTAAAACTTTCAAATATAAATGCAGAATGAGCCCAAGGTGGGCCAAAATCAGCTACACTGGCTCCTATATGAGTAAGAAGGTGTACACTGATAGTTACATGGTGCTTACCGTACAAATGGTCTATCCCACTTACAAAATATGACAAATAACGACTGGCATAAACCAAGTCACTTTTAGCAATGGAATTCTGCATGATGAGAGCAATTCCATGAACTAATAGGCCCCAGTGATTTAAAAATCTTGCCGGTAGTATGCCTTTTAAAACTGGAATACTATAATCTACAACCCAGTGAAACCATTCGTGACCACGGTAGTCAGATCTGTCTTTCAAAGATCTAGGGTTCCTGGAGACATCTGAAGTGGGTGTAATTTGAAGCAGTCTTGCATTTACCTCAGCAAATTTTGTAGATATACTGAATGGTTTCTTACTCCATTTTTCTAAAAACCATAGATGTGCAAAGCGTTTTGCTACATTTACCAATGCGTGAAATAAATCCAAGTCTAGGCAACGGGCCATGTCAAAGTTCTTCAGCTGAGATAAAACAGAAACACCTGTGATGCCTCTTTGAGGCTTGCGCGACATCTCTGCAGCTATTGCCATTTGCATCACGTGATTGTGAGTCCTCAAAGGATATTCCCTCTCAAATGTGGAATACGATCGGGTATGTCCTTTCTGGTACCTCATCCAAAATCCAGGGTGAAGGCAGAGACCACAACCATACCGCCCTGTATTTAACAATGTATACATTAGTAATTGATGAGCAAGTAATTAACTTAGATTTAAGAAGTGTGTATTGCGTTACATGAAAACTCACCATTAAATTGCGTTGAATTTCTAAGGAGTGGTCTGGCAATTGTGTCAGCTATTCCCATCAAAACTTTTATTTTAAAATGGCACACAGAACCATCTTTTTCGAAAGATATTCCCCTTTCCTCCAAGGACACACATTCCTCAACAAAAGGTTTAAGATACTCATGGCAATTAGGCTTCTTCAGGTTGAGCCATAAACTTATAAGAAAGATGTGTTTCCGCCGTGATGGCAAAGGCAATTCATTCAAGCATGCAAGGACAGGCCAAGCTGATTTCTTGCTCGTAGTAGCAATCTGAAACAGATATTTTGTCATTAAAACTAAAAGAAATTTATACTATTTCATTCAGCATATGAAAGGGTTAATTAATTTACTAGCCTGGACACCATCCACAAAAAAAGTTATGGTAAGAGTATTCTCGCTGACATGCGTTCTGTAATGTTTTCCATCATAAATGTCTTCATAATTACACTGATAGATTTTATTACGATCTTGAGGTTTTAAAATGTCCACAGAATGATGTTTTAGGAGTGCTTCCAGCTGTTCTTTCAGCGACATGTATAAGAATATGTTTCCCTTCTTCTTGTTTTCTGAAGTGCTGGTAATCTCTTCACAAGTTGCACATTCGAATGTGCTATGGTTGACTCTACCAATGTACTTTCCACAGGGGCACATATGATGTTCGTTGAGGGAACACGAGTACTCTTCAATAGTTCTCTTGATAATGTGTTTTGACGGGACATATATATCCTGTCCTGACAAAACGCCAGCCAGATTCATGATGTCTTCCGCAGCTGGGTATGTCAAGTTGTGGCGTGTCATTGTAGCCAAAAGCATCAAAATATGAGCTCTCTGGTCTACAGACATAAAAAGACTAGGAAATTCAGCTGATGTCTCATCAAAACTTTCATCTGCATCATCATCAGGTGGAGATTCACTTTCAGTGACATCCACAACATCTTCCTCGTCCTCCACTTCATCTAGTCTAAGTACAAAGGAGTCCTGAGAACAATAAGAGAGGAAATATTAAAAAAATATATTCTATTGACCAAGTACTTTCTTTTCACATCACATTACACTACCTCACTGTTTGTATCATCCGGAATCTCTTCTCCTTCAGCAGCATCATTATCACCCTCAGAAACGAGATAAAAACCATCCTCCTCGTGAAGCTAGGAACAGAATTAACGCATAGTATTAGAGAGTTTTTTAATTGTGCTACTCAGGGGAGTTGCTGGCTGCTGGTTAAGTACTAATGCATATGAAAATTAACATGGTTTCACAAACTTGTTATTTCTCACCTCTACGTGAAGGAAGTTTTCTAAAAGGTGTGTGCCATTTGACGGAAGTTGCTCTGGGGATGAAGCTTCAATAAAAGACGGCAGTGCAGATGGTGATTCACTTTCAGTGATATCCACAACATCAGGTTGTGGTCCAGATGAGGGAACTCTTTCCCAAGATTGTTCAGGTGAAGGAGCATTAATATGTGAATGAATTTCAGTGGATACAGCAGCTGTGCTCAAAGTAGGAGCTGCATTTAGAGCAAGCAGCCTATGCGCTGGCAAGGGATCTTTGCGGGGTGTTGGTTTTGATCTTTTAATAAGCTCATTTAGTGGATGTCTATGGCAAGAAAAAGAAAAACATTTAACATAGCGGACTAAAGCGGACTAAAGCCACTCACTATAAGTTTTGATCAAAACAGACAAATTACTCACCGATTTAACTTCTTCCTAACTTGTTTTGAAGGTTTTGAAGCACTCTTTCGGGAGTGCAAAGTGCTTCTAGGGATTCGCTGATCAGAACGAATAGTCCACTGTAAATATGGTCCTCTAGACCCTCTTCGGGAAACGGGTGTTTTAAGTGATGCCGTTGCTTTAATCTTCAATGCAAACCACAGCAAAAACCAAAAACACAATTAACCACTTCGCTTTGTTTACGGTTGTGGTCTGTCGTCTGCCAACCCTAAAGCCTAGCACTACATTCTTGTTGTTCCTCTTGAATTCTGGCTGCCCGATAGTCCCTCACAGCCAGGGTTTCTACCCAAAATTTACTGCTTGCAGCGTAACTTATTAATTAAAGAAAATGCGTTCGGTACGTTTGTTGTTTATAACAAAATAAAAAATTGCAATGCATTTCGGCTTTATTAAAACTACGCTGGTAGTAGATTGATGTTTTTCTGTCGGAATACAGTTTTGACTATAGTGATACATACTTTTGACTTCAGTTGGTGGGTATGAAAAATATAAAATGACTTCCCCGGCCACCCGACAACATTGTCTGAGTTACTTGTTGCTTGCGCTCGTGCTCTGTTCTCTGTGTTTGACTGCGTTAGTCTCTGCTCTGTTTTGTGTCGTGTCGTGTCGTTTCGTTTCTTGTCGTGTCGTGTCTAAGTTCTGTGTT